ATTTCAACACCTGCCATGTTTGAAAAATGGTTAAAACTAAAAAAAGGGTCTAATAAAAAGGTACAGGTACATTTGGCATGCAAGGATCAGGCAGACAATACCATGCCCTCTGCCCCATTTGTCCCAAAGTCTCCTCCCCCTAGTTATTTAAAAAACACTCCTCTCATGCCTACAGACACAGCTCCTCTGTCCATACCTCTATTCCAACATTGTGCTCCTTATGCTGTGCCCCCACCCTCACTTCAAGCCCAAGATAACACCCCCCCACATTCATACCCACATATGTCCTCACTGTTTCCAACAGAATATTGTGCTAGGACTTACTCTCATACTACATCTAGTGAGAAACAAGCACTGCCAGAGAGTGATGGTAAAGTCAGATCCTTGTATCCTGTAAAAGATCTGATGACACATGATTTGATGGATTGGGACAGTGCTGTTGTACAATGACAGAATGGTGGGCCTCCGGCGGTACATGTGTCCCCTTTAACCGCCGGGGACCGACGCCCTTATGTACCTTTGACTGTGTGGTGGGGGACAAGACCAGGACCAACAAAGATTTTAGCTTTAGTTGACACAGGAGCAGAAGCCACAGTACTGCATGGTAATCCATCAAGGCTATCAGGACCCTGTGTGAGAATAGAAGGTTTAGGAGGTAGAATTACCAAAGCAGTACAAACTGTTGTGGCTATGTCAATTAACAAAGGACCAAGATTCAGTGCTAAAGTTTTGATTTCAGAATTGCCAGACAATATCTTGGGAATAGATGTGTTACTAGGGCAGAGTATTGAGACACAGTGGGGGGTGTTCACGTTTGGATTCCCTCATAAGCCATACTATCTCAGACCAGTAAAAGACATTGTGCGAGGGAATGCAAATTGGACACCTGTCATTGTTCCTCCTCCGTGCAACCCGGTAAGACTGAAGCAATACCGTTTGCCCGGAGGATGTCGAGAAATTAGTGAAACTATCGACAAGCTTTTACAGTCAGGTGTAATTCGTCCAGCTGTCAGTCCGTTCAATGCTCCAGTATTCCCTGTAAAGAAGATGGATGGCTCATGGCGAATGACGGTGGATTACCGGGGACTCAACAAGGTAGCACCACCATTGAGTGCTGCTGTCCCTGATATTATCACCATTGTGGAAAACATTGCCAAACAGGCCGGGGAGTGGCATGCGGTAATAGATTTAGCTAATGCGTTCTTTTCAATTCCTATTGCACCTGAGTCGCAAGATCAATTTGCTTTCACTTGGGAAGGACGCCAATATACCTTCCAAGTTGTGCCCCAGGGATATATACACTCACCTACGATTTGCCATGGACTAGTTGCACGGGATTTAAGCCACCTCACTCTACATCTTCCAGTGTTTCACTACATTGATGACATCATGATCTCGGGATCTAAAGAGGAAGTGAAAGAAGCATTACCTGTTCTAGTGAATTACATGACTGGACGGGGGTGGGCAATAAATAAAGACAAAATTCAAGGTCCAACCCAAGAAGTTAAATTCCTAGGAATGATTTGGTCTGGGCCTGTTCGGAAGATACCTCAGCCTGTGCTGGATACAATCCAGAATTCTCCAGAACCTAAGACGTTAACAGAAGCCCAAACGTTTTTAGGTGCAGTTGGTTACTGGAGAGCATTTATACCGCATCTAGGATTGCTGCTACGCCCCATATACAATGTTACAAGAAAGAAATCAGCATTTGTATGGGGAATTGATCAAGCTACAGCATTCCAAGCAGCAAAGGAAGCAGTATTACAGCATCAGGGCTTGGGCCCGATTCAAATAGGAGCTCCGTTCATATTGGATGTGATGGTGAACGACAACGTAGCATCATGGGGACTATGGCAACTGAGCGAAGACAAAGGCAAGCGGGCAGTACCAATTGGGTTTTGGTCCAAGCAATTGACTGGGGCTCAGGAAAGGTACACACCTTTGGAGAAGAATCTTCTGGCAGCATACCTCGCACTGCAGCATGTGGAGGCAATGACTGAGAAAAGCATAGTATCAGTGAAAACAGATTTACCAATAGCAGGATGGGTACGAGATGAAGGATTATCTGCAAAGACAACAGTGGCACAAAGTCAGACATTATTAAAATGGAAGTGGTACCTGCAGGAAAGAGGAGGTGAAGTGAAGGAACTGACCTTACTGGGTTAGTGACATATGATACACTTTCACATCCCAATGTACAAGAAGTCCCAATTTTACAGCCCTCACCCATCAAGACAGCTCCTTCATTCAGAGAACTGGGTGAAGAACAAAAGAAAAATGCATGGTTCACAGATGGGTCTGCAATCATGACCCACAAAGGACGACATTGGACTGCAGTAGCTTACAACCCTCAGCAACAAATTGTGATTCAAGAGAAGGGAATAGGAGGATCTAGTCAATATGCTGAATTGACTGCCATAGTCATACTGATGGAAGAAACCACAGATCCAGAGCTCTACATCTATACAGATAGCTGGGCTGTGTACAAGGCTTCTGTTCCATGGATGCATACATGGAGAAACAACAGGTGGCAAATACATGGCAAGACAGTATGGGGAGGAGAAGATTTATGGGAAAATACATGGAAAACAGCCCAATCAAGATTAATACACCTCGGACATGTTAATGCCCATGTGAAAGACAGTACTGGAGAAGAGAACGCGAATAAGATAGCCGATGAATTGACCCGAATACGAGAAGCAAAAATAACACCAGAACCTGTTGATCCAGTATTACTTAGGATGGCAGACTGGGCCCATGAGACCGCGGGTCATAGAGGAAAAGCAGCTACGCTAGAGTGGGCGCGAGCCCGAGGACTACCAATAACTCTCCAGATGATTGTCCAAGCTCAAGAAGTATGCGAGACCTGCAATGAGGTTAAGAAATGGCCCCTCACGAAGCAAGCCCGTGGACATTTAAATAAAGGAACAATAGCAGGACAGATCTGGCAGATGGACTACATTGGTCCCATGCCTAAAGGAAGAGGGGGGCTGATGTATTGTTGTACTGCTGTAGACACCTTTTCCGGAATTCTGAAAGTATTACCCTGCAAACATGCGAACCAGGCCTCAACACTTCAGATGCTACAGACTCTTGTGATTGCTTATGGACTGCCATCTGAGATTCAGACAGACAATGGAACCCACTTCACTGGACAGCTCGTACAGCAGTGGGCAAATGACTCAGGGATTAAGTGGATCTTCCACATCCCCTATTATCCTCAAGCTTCGGGGTTGATTGAAAGGTGCAATGGGCTTTTAAAAGAACAGATTCGGAAGCTATCCCCAAGTAAGACATTGAGGGGGTGGGACCTGGTGATCACGCAGGCAGTTATGATACTAAATAGTAGACCAATAGGACAGTTTTCACCTTATGAAAGATTGACTGGACAGGTAGGGACACCAACTGTGTCAGTTCGATTAAGGTTCAAGGGATCTTTCCCCCAACAGGTGGGGAAGAACAAATTTAAAGTGGTCAGCCAGAACCTAGTTGAGATTGTACAGGGTGATGAATGGATGACATACATCCATCCCATGGGTGGGATATTACCAGAAGGGACTGAAGTGACCTTTGCCCTAACAGAGGAGCTAAGAAATGATAAATGGTTGACCACAGGGATGGTAAATGTGTTATCAGATTTGTGGGAAATCCCATTGACCAGGCGGTGTCTAGGCCAGATTTTCTCATACACTGTATTAGGCGTGGTATCCATTTGGATCCCATGGAAAGTATTAGTGACATGGGAGGAAAGCAATACCTTACAGACAGGTTCCAAAGTATGGGTGCTACCACGAGCAGGTGAGCAGGTCAAACAGAAGGGAGAAATACTATGCTCAAAGTGGAGGATGAGTTCGACTGGAGGTTACAGAGCCTCTTGGCCTCAGTGGGTGAGCCAGTATCAGAGGCAACCAGGTTGGACTGCAGAGAGGGCGCCAGGAAAGAGATGTGGGACGAAGCCCTGGAGGGTGTCCAGCGTTGGTGAGGTGAGCGTCTCCCCAGCGAGGAGCAGCGACTACAGGCCCGAGTGGCCCTATGGATGCCTATGATGGGAGAACAGCCCAGGTGGGAGTTGGTAATGCAGCTTAATTCTCTGGCATGGAAGGAACTGGGGCTTGAAGATGCATACCAGGCACTACATTGGTATGCAGTTCAGCGTGTTCCCGGGATGGCTAAGTGCGGCAGACCAGAGGGTGAGGATTACAATGGCCCTGGCGTATTATGGTACGCCTGTACCGGAGCAAGGTTCGGGGATGCTGCAAAGTCACGGCTATGGGACATATATGAATCCAGAGAAACCATTCTAGATCTCCCTATGGATAAAGACCTAGATCCAGACCTGTTTGAACTGGCCATCCAGGAATGGGAACTGGAACAGGATTACCAGTGCCTACTCAGCTCCAGTCAGTCCCAGTATACCTTGGAGGTACCACCAGGGCAGTGCAAGTTACAGGGAGCCGAAGGTGTCGTCCTTCCTCCCCAGCGGCAGTGCAAGTTACAGGGAGCCGAAGGTGTCGTCCTTCCTCCCCAGCGGCAGTGCGAATTCCAGGGGGCCGAAGGTGTCGTCCTTCCCCCCCAGCAGCAGTGTGTCCTACAGGGAGCAGAGACAGTTGGTCTCTCTCTCCAGCAGCAGGACAATGTTATGGGAGTGGAGACAGGCGGTCTCCCTCTCCAGCGGCAGCCTGTGTTTCAGGGAGAGGAGCACAGCACCCTATCTCCCCAGCGGCAGCTTACCCTACCAAGGGGAGACACCAATCTCCCAGATGGCGCAGATGGGACCGTGGTCTCTGTGCCTGACCTACAGGGATGCTGGACAGCCTGTCCAGATCCCTAACTACCCTCACAGGGACAACAGGAAGAGTGGGTAAGTACGAATTCCCCTCCCCAGCTAACTCCTAACTTGGCCCCAGGGTTAACAGAGGAGATGTTAACCCCCACTGACTCCAATGTTCCCCTGGCTACTGAGCTGGACTATGTTCCCAGCACCCCAGCGGAAGAGCTGGCAGCTGGGCAGAGTGCAGTCGGCCTCTGCCCTCCCTTTGTCCCTTGTCCAGAGCCTGATGTCCTGCAGGCTATACCAGTGGAAGAGCTGGCAGCTGGGCAGAGTGCAGTCGGCCTCTGCCCTCCCTTTGTCCCTTGTCCAGAGCCTGATGTCCTGCAGGCTATACCAGCGGAAGAGCTGGCAGCTGGGCAGAGTGCAGTCGGCCTCTGCCCTCCCTTTGTCCCTTGTCCAGAGCCTGATGTCCTGCAGGCTATACCAGCGGAAGAGCTGGCAGCTGGGCAGAGTGCAGTCGGCCTCTGCCCTCCCTGTGTCCCTTGTACAGAGCGTGACATTCTGCCGGCTACCCCAGCGGAAGAGCTGACATCAGGGCAGAGCGCCGCTGGCCTCTGCCCTACCGACCCCCTTGTTACAGGACTGGTCTGCAACCCCCTCTCCCCAGCAAAAGTGCGGGCATCAGGGCAGAGCGCCGCTGGCCTCCCCCCCCCCCAAGTACCACCAGCTATTTGCCCAACTGCACCAGGAAGGCAGAGGATGCTGCATTTTCATCCTACAACCTGGAACCTACAGGCCAGTACTGTTTATTGTGGGGGGGCTACTTTGCTACTTGTTATTTGTGATTGGGTTGCGAGACTAACTTAGGCACTGACCGACAGAAGGTAAGGTGCCTGGTTAGTCTCCCTCCAAAAGGGGAGATATGTTACAGACTGCCATTTGTAACTGTTATTTTATTTGACAAATTGCCCTGCTTCCCTGTGTTATGGAGAAGCCTAATTGCCAGCCTTCTGCCCCATGACTATGGACCTAGTGGGTATGGCGATTTGACTGTATTTGTGGGATCTGAGCGCTGTTTGGATATATTGAGCGCTCAGATCCAAGCCATCTGGGGATAGGTTGAATGTGGGGGTTCTGTTCAGTATGATAGGAGTTAGGTATTTATCTGTCTTTTTGTGTCTTTTGCTAACATGTGGTTAATGGAGTCTGTCTCTATCCCTGGATATAAGTGGATTATTTTCCCCATTGTCTCCTGGATAGAGGACTCTGTAAAACCGGTTTGGGCCAGATAACCATGCTGCCAGCCAGGCCCCAAAACATACTTTTGCTAACTTTTGAACCCCTTGTCTGATTTGTGCCATTTTTTAATATGTTGCTCCCCTGAATGGATTGATTCTAAATATGTAATTTGTATGAAGATTGGATGTATAGTTTTAAAGTTACAGGGTATGGGTAAAAGCTGTATTTTTACTGCCTGTGTTTAATTATGTTAACCCATTGTGTACCATAATTAGATCACAGGCAGAGGGGAGGATTTTTGTGTGTAATTGCTGGGAGTGTTTCTGTAATGTACGTTTATTATTGGTTGTTGTGTAAAACCCTGTGGGTGGTCCTATCTCAGGGAAACCTGCATAAAAGAAGGTTCTTTGTGTGCCAATAAACAGATCTTCTTGACCCTCAATACGTAGCCTTGTCTCGTTATTGGAGGGAACTGCTATATCACACTGGGGATTGCTATGCTCTGCATATTTCCCTGAGCTTTTAATCACTTAGCTCTTTTAAGAGCTGTTCCTGTTACGCTCTCCTGGAGGAGAGGTCTTCCCCACACGGTCCTGGAGCACAGAAGCTGATCCAGGGTGGAAGGAAGACGGCGAGACTCCAGTTAAGCTACGGCGGTTGTGGAGTCTGTGGTGGTTGTGGTGTCTGCTGCAGTGTTTGGAGTCCTCAGGAAGCGCTAGGAGCATCCATCAATGGAGGGTACTCGGTTGGAGTACAGGGAGTTCCGTTACAAGTGCCTTGCAAAAGTGTTCACCCCCTTGACTTTTTACCTATTTTGTTACATTACAGCCTTAAGTTCAACGTTTTATTAATCTGAATTTTATGTGATGGATTAGAACACAATCGTCTAAATTGGTGAAGTGAAATGCGAAAAATATATACATAAAACTATTATTTAGAAATAGGAAACAGAAAATTGGCATGTGCGTATGTATTCACCTCCTTTGTTATGAAGCCGATAAAAAGCTCTGGTGCAACCAATTACCTTCAGAAGTTACATAATTAGTGAAATGATTTCCACCTGTGTGCAATCTAAGTGTCACATGATCTGTCATTACATATACACACCTTTTTTGAAAGGCCCCAGAGGCTGCAACACCTAAGCAAGAGGCACCACTAACCAAACACTGCCATGAAGACCAAGGAACTCTCCAAACAAGTAAGGGACAATGTTGTTGAGAAGTACAAGTCAGAGTTAGGTTATAAAAATATATCCAAATCTTTGATGATCCCCAGGGGCACCATCAAATCTATCATAACCAAATGGAAAGAACATGTCACAACAGCAAACCTGCCAAGAGACGGCCGCCCACCAAAACTCATGGACCGGGCAAGGAGGGAATTAATCAGAGAGGCAGCACAGAGACCTAAGGTAACCCTGGAGGAGCTGCTGAGTTCCACAGCAGAGACTGGAGCATCCGTACATAGGACGACAATAAGCCTTACGCTCCATAGAATTGGGCTTTATGGCAGAGTGGCCAGAAGAGAGCCATTACTTTCATCAAAAAACAAAATGGCACGTTTTGAGTTTGCGAAAAGGCATGTGGGAAACTCCCAAAATTTATGGAGGAAGGTGCTCTGGTCTGATGAGATGAAAATTGAACTTTTCGGCCATCAAAGAAAATGCTATGTCTGACGCAAACCCAACACATCACCCAAAGAACACAATTTTTCAGCAGCCGGGACTGGGAAACTGGTCAGAGTTGAGGGAAAGATGGATGGTGCTAAATACAAAAAAAGCAACTGGCTTATACATAGTTTTCAAGTGATTGTGCCGGGTGGAAGGGATGCTCTGTGTTTTATTTACCTTTTTGTTATATGTTTCTAGTATAATCATGAGACTGAAATCAATCAAAGACCTTTGTGTTTCTTATATTCTTATGTTTTTTGGAAACCTACAAATTTCAAAGTTCATATGTTATGGACAATTGCACATACAAAATCTCGCTATAAGTAGAGTTTGCTGCATTTTACCCCTACCCTTTTTTTCATGTTTTTTTTTTTTGAACAACCTCTGTCACATACCTGCAAGACTTGTGTGATCTCTTTATCTTGCTAAAACGTGCAAGCTTTCCATGTTTACCAGTTATGGAGACCTGCAAGTCTTTTCAAGTTATGTATTTACTTAGTTTCTGTTTAAAAAGTGAAATTGCTCTCTCACCTGAATAAAAAGATATTGCCAACATTTTTATCATATCTGCATAGACTGGTTTCTAAAAGCATTTATTCCAGTTTGAAGACACATTGCTGTAAGTATTTGCGGTGGAACTCTATTATACACAAACAATATAGAGCTTCTAAAATAGAGGGATATTATTGTGTTTCCCCGAACATAAGACTGGGTCTTATAGCTCGAAAAACACACTAGGGCTTATTTTCGAGGTATGTCTTATTTCTGAGAAAAAGTTAGCAAGCATGCACTAGAAAGCAGGTCTATGTTTGGGGGAATCTTTCCGGTTTATATCTTAGCTTACTCACAAATGGAATCCTACGAATCTATGTTTGAGGAAAAGTTCCCTGAACATAGATTAGCTTACTAGCGAATGGAATTCTCCAAAACTATGTTCATGGAAAATACGACGAACATAAATTAGCGAGCAAGCGATTGGCGACTAGGGTTTATTTTCAGGGTAGGGCTTATATTACGTTAAGGCTTATTTTCGGGGGATGTCTTATTTTCGGGGAAACATAGAAAAGTCAGAGAGATTTGCCCAAAATAGGAACTGCCCCTCCTAAATAATATTACTCAAACATGACAAACTAAAAACTCAATATGTAGGTGGTGGTAACATTATTTTAGTTTAATGATATTCAATCTGATCCTACAGTAAAGACACACAACAGTCCAGGATTTAGGCATTTATTCTGTTTATTTCAAAGGGAATACTGACTGGGGATGGGAACCACTGTGTTAGATATATGGTGAGAATATTATTCAAGTTACATCTCATTATTACCTAAATTAAATGCTTTAATATTTTCACTCAACAATATATTAACATTTAATTCATGGTTTTCCCTTTGGGAAGTTCTGGGTAAAAGCTGACTTAGTCCACATATTCATTTGCTGCTTTTTTCAAGTTTACCTAATTGTTAGGCCACATTTACTTATATCCATTGAACAGTGCTACAGGATATGAGGATGTCCTATAAAAATAACATAAAAAATATTGTGAGGTCTTTTATAAACACCAGCCCCAATATCAAATCCATCTGCCTAATATCATGTAGGTCCCCCTTGTGTTGCCAAAACATCTCTGATGCATTAAAACATGGACTCTACAAGACCTCTGAACATGTCCTGTGATATCTGGTACCAAGACTTGAGCAATAGATCATTTAAGTACTGCAAGTTGCAAGGTATGTCCATGGATCAGATTTGTTGTTCCAGCACATCCCACAGATGCTCAATTTGAGTGATATCAGGGGAATGTGGAGGCCAAGCCAACATCCTAAATTCTTTGTCATGTTTCTCAAACCATTCCTGAACAATTTGTGCAGTGTAGCAGGGAGCATTATCCTGCTGAAAGAGGCCACTGTCATCAGGGGATACCACCACCATGAAGGGCTAAATGTGATCTGCAACAATCTCTATGCAGGTAGTATATATTAAAGTGACATTTACATGAATGCCAGGACCCATGGTTTTTCAGCAAAACACTGCCCAGAGCATAACACTGCCTCTGGCAACCTGCCTTCTTCCAATAGTGTATCCTGCTGCCATTCTTAACCAGGTAAATGATGAACCCACACACCCAGCCATATAACCTAAAACGTAATTCATCATATAAGGCAACCTTCTTCCACTGTTCCATTGTCCAGTTCTGACAAGCATGTCCACACTGAACGTGCTCTCGGCAGTGGACAGAGCTCATCACAGACACTCTGACCAGTACTCACTGAGACCACTACGCGGCTACACAGTTCCATTCGCATCAAACCCTGTTTGTTTTGACACCTTTCTATCATGGCAAACATTACGTTTTTGAGCAATTTGAGTTACAGTAGTTCTATCACTTCTATGTGATCAAAATAGATGGGCTAGTTTTCCCACCAAACGTCCATCAATGCGTTTTGGGTGCATATGACCCTGAATCCCGTTCACCGGTTGTCCTTCCTTGCACTAATTATTGCATTCTGGGAAGAGCCCACAAGACTTGCCACTTTGGGGATGCTGTGACCTAGCCATCACTATTTGGCCCTTTTCATGCTTCCAATTCATGAAATTCAAGATCTAACTTTTCACCTGTTGCCTA